GCCTCCGCCCGCCATCGAAGCCGCCGAGACGGGCGCCGATAGCTCCGCTAGCCACCGCGACGGCGCGGACCACGCCGATGGCGGCGCCGGGACCTTCGCCACCCGTGAGTACGCGGGACCCCCCGCGGGCCGCAAAAGAAAAAAAATCTAATAACACTCTTCAATCATCAAAGAGTACGAGATCGTGTTTCGATTGAGTCAATGTGTCAAGTCATCATCGTGATTTGACCGTTGGGTCGGACCTCCGATTTGTATCCCGGTTTCGTGTTGGGAGAAAGCAAACGCCAACTCGAAACAAAAACTTTCAGCGATGCTTGTTTTGGACAGAGCCGAACGTGAACGTTGCCAACTGATGAAGCGGCCTTCCGATGAATATTACTCAAGCGGAATCGGGTCCATGGCTCACGGCGGGCGGCCATTTTGCCACTTCGCGGCGCCCCGGGGGCTCGGCTTCAGAAAGCGGCTGAGCCGTGATCGCTTCTCTCAACTCAATTTCGTTAGCCGCGCGAGGTCATTTGCGGTCGACGGCGAGTGGCAAAATGGCCGCCCGCACGACATGGATCCGAATTTCCGCGAGAGGAGGGGCGGAGAATGGTTCGGGGGGGCGGATTCGAAAGGCTCGGCGCGCACGTGCGCTCCGAACGAGAAGAGGCCGAACGCGGGCTCCCTTTGACGCTCTCCAAACGGGCGGCCAGGCAGGAGGTCCACCATGGAGGAGGTCCGGGACGAGCTCCTGCAGCGCCTGACGTTGGGTCGCAGCGCCCGCAAGACCCTGGGCGCGGGGTCGCGCCGCGGCGCCGCCGCCGCAAACGTTCCCGGCGTCAGCATCACGTACGAGTCGTCGCCTGACGACGTGCGGCGCTGGCTGGAGGCCAAGGCTTTCAGTCCCGTGTAAGTCGGAGCCCGCGCGGCGTGACGTGACGCGGCGTGACGTAATCAGCTCCCTTCCGCCGGTCTGACTGCCGATGGCTTGCGCGCAGCACCGTGGGGAGTCTGGGGGTGCTGACGGGGGCGCAGCTCTTCTCGCTCAACAAGGACGAGCTGAAGACGGTCTGCCCCGACGACGGCGCTCGCGTCTTCAGCCAGGTCACCGTGCAGAAGGCCGCGCTGGAGGTACGTGCGCGACGCCGCCCCGCTCGCGGGCCGCCGCCACTCGGCCGCTTCGTACGACCGGCGCGGCCCGAGTGCCGACGCAACCGGGGACTCGATCGGAGTTTTACTCGCCGCTCCAAAGTGGGGACTCGGCGCTTGGACGAGTGCGACTCGGCCCCGCCTCTGCCGGGCGCGCCGTGTGCCAAGTGTGCTTTGTGGTCTCTTCAGGTCTTCTTCTGAGCCTCCTCTCGTCTTCTTGGCGGCTTCGTTCAGGTATCCTCATCCCCCGCACCAGCGCCCCTCCCCTGCCCTCCCCTCAAAGGACGTCCGCTCGCTCTTGTCCCGTAGCGCTGGCCTCACGCCTTCTGGTGCGCTCGCCGTCCGAGCGGTCAAAAGGCTGGCGGCTCAGCACAGAACGTTTCCTCGTTCCCCCGCCCTTGCTCGTCGCGCGCTTCCTCACGCCCTTCCTCGTATCCTTCCTGGCCTCGGGTCCTCACATCGTTCGTCTCGCCGACCGGGACGAGGCGCCAACGCCGATGTCGTGAGCTTTTGCCGGTCTGACCTTGTTGTTGTTGTTGTTGTTGTTCCCCATCCTTGCGCCTTTAGCGTCAGTCTGGCTCCGAGCTGCGGGAGGTCATGAGGAGGCGTCAGGAGATCCTGGCGGCCGGCGCCGGCGAATCGGGGAAGGAGTCTTGACGAAGGCCCCGCCCACCGAAGGTCACAAGACTCCCTCCCTGGCTTCCGGCTTCCTTCCTTCCACCTTTCCTGGTTTGGCGGCCCTCCCCGCTCACGCCGTCTCGCCGGAGCTCCCGCGGCGGCGCTGCCGAACGCAAACGCGGCCGTTTCCGACTGCCGGGCGCCCACGTTGAGATGAGGATTAGCGTTAGCCGAGAAGACGCCGCCGCCGCCTTGCACAGCGAGTGATGTCAGCGTAGCTATGTGGCCGCTAAGCCTGGCGGCGCGCCGCTCGCCGTCAGAGAAAACAGCAAAGATGGAAGGGTGACTTTTTCTTTTTTTCTTTTTTCTTCAAAGCAGGGACACAGCGGCCTCCAACCTGAAATTGGCGGGGCGCGCACTGTAAATCCACTCGGCGCGCTAACCTCAAGTCTCGTGTCATGTTGCACAGGGGTCATTGGCCTCACGAGTACGCCCCCTCAAACACTTTGGCCGTTACCGGTCACCCCCCGCCCCC